TATATATGTATATAATATTAATATAAATTATATTATTTATCGTAATAATTCAAAGTCTTTTATGCATTTACTTGTTTCTTTAGCAAATTTTTTTAATACAATTAATATTCAAATTGATCAATATTAATATTGCAATTACGTTTAAAAGATACAGAAATCTTAATGATTTTATAAAGACATAATTTTGTCATTACAAGTATATCACTAAATAATTATCCAACTGAAAAGATCAAAGATTGAAATTACTACTATTTTTTTAATTGTCCTTATTCAACATCCTTGTGTTCACTATTATCGGACGAAGCATTATTGACGAAATCAGATGATATTAGCAGAAGATCCGTGTCGATTTGACAATCTCAGTAAATTCGCGCAATAGTCATGTTGATTGTAATTTCGTAGTTCACTTTTCTCACTGTGAGGGCAATCATTTTTCTTCTTCACTCACCGTAATAAGACACGTGATCCTCATATCGTTGCTCGCACGAAATCTTGCTTACCTCACCGATCTACTGCAAAGACGACTGTTAGACTGTAGTGTTAGCCACCTCTTTTAAAGGTTCTCTCGTAGCTATTAGAGCGGGGTCTGTACCGAAGCTTGATAACGCATCTTAGTGCGTTATAATCCCCAACATATAGCATACACGCTATTATGCCGCTCGCGAGAGCCGATCGAGTAACGGGAGCAATTTGTTTTCTATATTTCCTTATTGTTACTAGAGATATATATCACATATAGTTTCTAAATTACAATCTGATCACTACACTAGTAGACAAATGTGTTTATTGTGATATACTATATTAAAGCAAAATTTCTTGTATTTACTTTCGTTCTTACAGAAATTCTTTGTTTTCTTTAGGTTGCATTTATGTCGAAATATCTAAAAATTCTTTGTTTTACTTTTATATATTTTTCTTGATATTTTATTTCCATCCTTTGTACCTGCACACTGAAAAAAAAAAGATTGGTTGAATATGACATAGCATTTTTAATTGGTTGCAGCAGCCAATCTTTTCTTTCAGTATGATGTTTCAAATTTAATGGTTAAATTGCGGTAATGTGTTCCATGATTAAAAATAAGAAAAAATTGATATGATTATAAGTCTTAACTTAAGATCAAAATTTATTTAAAAAAAGCTTCATGAAAAAATTACAACAAAAATCTACTGAAAGAAAAAATTAATTGTTGCAACAATTTAGTAAAATATAGTATAGCATTTTTTATCGGCTGCAATCAGTTTTTGGTTGTAGCAGCAAATTTTTAGTTGTTAGCCTATCGAAATCATATACTGACATTGCTGATAGGCAATGCTAGTTGCTGCAGCCGATTAAAAATGCTATGCCATATTTTACTATCTAAATTGTTGCAGCAACCAAGCTTTTCTTTCAGTGTAGTAATGTAGAATTTAGCGAGAGAGATCTTGAAAGCCAAGGCATTATGCCGGACAACTACCCAATTGAATCCACATGTATATATACATGTGTTAGTATATTTTTATTAGAAAAATTAAAAATATTTCTTTTTATAAAAGTTACTTTATGAATCATGGAATTATTTGAATAATTAATTATATATGTACTTTATAAAATTAATGTTATACAAAATAAAAAACGAAATAAATTCAACGATCGCTGACCAAAAGATCGATATTTGAAATGAAATATTAATAAACATATAGTACATATTGTATAGATACTATTAACAACAAGAACAATTAGTACAATCTGTTTTCTTTTGTTTGCGCTATTTTTGTTATAATTTTCTAAAATTAATAATAATTCTATAAATCTATATACAACATTTTTCTTTATTTTAGTAAAATACTTTGATTATTAAAATCTGAAGCATTTCGTACAACATATAAATAATTGTCAAATAAATTACATTACATCGCTTGCTTCTAAAGTCCAAGATTTAATAATTTAAAAAATTCTTTCGAAATATTTGGAAATTTAATAACTTACCAATAAATTCTTGCTTGAAAAAATACGAACTCTTTAATAATAGCAGAGATGAAAACTTGTAGATAATTTAACGTAAACATACATTTCTTAACTTCGTGCGACGCTTTTGCATCGTTGATCCTGGTGACTGCATATGGAAACATAACGTGCCAATATGTAATGAAGATATATCTTTGCTTGTTGAATCCTTCAAATTAACGCGAAAAAAATCGTAACAAAAGCCATTGACTTAACGAAAGTAAATTCATTTACACGCTATTTTAATTGCATGAGTTTCTGAGTTTACCATCTCCAGCGTGAAGCGCCAAGTTTCTATCATCTAAACATGGAAAGTTGTTTGTTGAATTGTCAGATTAACTATGAGTCGCATTAGATTCAAATCCTCGATGTCGATAGCAAAAGTATGTTATTGCTGCTCAATTGAGTAGAAATCCGTTTAATTAATTGGTACACAAGTAGAAGCAATTCTGATTTATATTCCATATATAGAATCTCGCGATCTTTCGAATAATTATACTGATCGCGAGAATGGTCGCGAACGGAAAAGGCGTGCTGTAGATTACAGAGCATGATCGAAAAAAAAACACGTGGATTAATGCAAGAAGAGCCGACATTCTGTGCGAAACAGTTAATAATATCTAATCTGGCAGCAAATCAGTTCTCTTGAATACGATAAATCAGTCTTGTATCAAGAACAACGCGTATGAACGATTTTACTTGTTGATGTATGATCAATTATATCTTAATAAATTTTTATAATAGTTCCTGATTTTTCCAGTCTCCTGGATAAAATCAATACTTTTAGATACAAGTAGTATGTGAAAACTTATTATTAATACATATTTTCTCACTTCTCTCTCTCTCTCTCTCTCTCTCTCTCTCTCTCTCTCTGTGTGTGTGTGTGTGTGTGTGTGTGTGTGTGTGTGTGTGTGTGTGTGCGCGCGCGCGCGCGCGCGCGTGTATTTTATATATATATATATGTATCTTAAAATCACAAAATATCTTTTGAATTAGAATATAGTTTAAATTTGAAATCGATCTTTTCTTTTAAATAAAATGGACATTTTTATTTTTATTATTTTATTGTAATTTTCTAATTTTCAATATATAATTTGACGATTTTTAAAAGTTTAAATTTAAAATAAGATCTAATAATTGACGTTGAACAATAATTATGTTTACTGGTTCTTCTGAGATCTTTGAAGAAATCTTAATTTTGATCATTGATTTATTACTTTCTTATGCAATATTAAAAGAATTTATAAAATAATCGTCATACATTCAGAACATAGTTACGTATACATATATTATTAAGTTTCAAACATATGGGTAAACTATATTTGTTTATTCCTTCTTACATCTAGAATCAATTTAGAATTAAGGAAATTCTAAGCAGTAATTATCTAATTATCAAATCTAAAATGATTTATGATAGAAAATTTATCAAACATAACTTGATCAATTCAACATTTACCACTTTACTAATGAAAAAGAAATAGATAATTTAACTAAGTGAATGTGTCGTTCATTAATCATATCGTCGCGTTTGAGTTAATTCGCACGTATTTTATTGACGGATTTGAGTTTACACTTTACTTTTAACAAAATTAATAAAAATGAAGGATTTTTAATTAAAAAACACAGATTTAAAACTAATTTTATTCTAAAACTCTCTGGCTAAGACAATATTTATCGCAATAAAATTATTTGCAAATTTAGATTCTCTTTAATATCTTACTACTAATATTCTTATAAAGATGCTTATTAATATAAAGGATTATTAAATTGCTTCTTAATTTAATAAGTGGTATTGCTTACTATTCTGATTCTTTTATGAATACATTTCAAGACCGAAAAAAATTTCAGCGCGCAGTTTTTCAGCGGAATCAGATGATTTATGTACATAAATTCACACAGAAATATTTAAGTACCAAATCCGTTTCGAATGTAGCATTTTTCTTATTTAATTAAATGTAATTAGTTATATTTTATTCTCTCATAAGTTTGTGCGAAAAAAAGTCAACTGTATAAATAATTGTTATTAAATTATTAAAATATTTATTGTAAATTCTATTTAATCTAAAGCAAACGTATTAAATTTCCTTATGCATAAACACTTTCAATTTACATGCTTGACTAAACAAAATGTTGCTTTAACCACTAACTATCAAGCATTCGTGCACTCTTAGTCTTCGTATTTTAAGATTTCAGTGATAATCGCAATGAAAGCATTGGTTATCCGATATATTCAATGTTTCTTTTATTCTTTTTTTTTAACTGTTTATGATAAGTTTAACTGAAGTTAAAGCGGCGTTTTCCGTCGAAACGAAATCCATATGCGGCGCTATTCGGTGCATCAACCAATGCAGGATTTCGATATTGATGGAAGGATCCATGAAGATGGGGCGGTCTCACAGCGTTTTGCTCCTCGTCTTGCGTACCTTTCAGATAAAATGCCTCGAACTGACCTTCCGGTAAGAGAATATCCTTTAGGGACTTGTCATCTGGATCATATGCCGATGTGAGGGTGATTAACATGACGAAAAAGCAAAATACCTGCAATAATGCTATCTTTATTAATTGCTATCAAGAATCCCAACGTGAAATTGATGGATAAATCGCTTGTAAAGTTAAATTGAAGAAAATTCACAGAGATGTAGTGCAAAACTACAAATATCAAATCTTAAAAATCAACAGAAAAGTTAAAGATTTAATTTCATGAAATAATTGGTATTAAAGGACTAATGCTGTGATATAAAAAATAACTGCTTGCATCTCTTTCTCGTAATAATTACTAGGTCAATAAATATCTGTTCAAAATTAAAAGTGAGCAATAATTCAATTGAATTAAAAATTGAACGAAGATATTTTAAATAATAAATTTTTTATGCAGTGTTTTAAGATGCTTATTAGCACCATTGTTAAATGGATCTATTTAATTTGTGATATTACTATTACTCAATTTATAATTGCATCTCAAATTCAACGGTAATTGACGCGCAGTTTATGTAGTTTACGCAGAATTGAAAAGGACATTATTTAAAATTTATATAAAAATATTAATAGACCCAAATATTAATAGATCCCGCCTCGACCATATTTGGCGATTTTCTATTTATTTGAGTTATTATATATTTGCATAAACAATTTAGTCTAATTTAATTTATTATTATTTAAACATATTTTAATTTAAACACAACCCCTCATGTTTCCTGAAATATAATCCGACAATATAATAGCTAGAGTAACAATTTACACCTTTTTTTTTACAACGATTTACGTGTGCAATGAATCTTTTTTACGATTACTGTAATAAAGAAAATACTGTCGTGATACTAGGTGATAATTTTCGATTAATACTAAACAATTATACGTACCAATAAAATATTTCGATCATCCCACATCATTATCAATTTCCGTTCCATTTTCCTGACCGTATCTCTCGCGCGATCAAGATACTAAAATGACAAATAATGTTTATGTGACATATAACGATGAGTCTTGTCAGCATAACTCTCTCGACTATTTGATGAAACTGGGAAAGTGATAAATCCGATCTCTCTCACCAAATTAATCGCACACTATGCCACGAGGCAAATTAGCAATTTGTAATTTCAATTTATTAGTTATAAAAAAATATTTGTTCGTTCATACATATATTCGCGTTTAAAGCTAATGATCACGAATACGCAATGATATAATTCAATGCTACGTGCACAACATGAACACAACATTACCTCGATTCGCATGAGATAAATCTAGTCTAGACTAAAATACATCCTGTGTATAATAACAATGATTCATTCTATATTATAAATATTTATTTGTGATACGTAATATAATAATAAACTTTGTAAGCAAAATATAAAATCGAAAAATACAAAATGATATTTAATTAAAATAATAAATCTAATAAAAATAAAGAGATATAGAGAGAGATATAGAGAGAGAGAGAGAGAGAGAGAGAGAGAGAGAAAGAGAGAGAGATTAATTTCTTAAATCAAAGAAAAAATATTGGAGATAACGATGGAAAAATTCAAAAGTTTGACCATTCACAATCTATAATTTAAATGTAAACATATAGATAAATTATAATGTAATGAGATATTTCAGATATTTCAAAACTATCGGTTATTCTTTTCATAAGAAGTTATTCTTTAGCTAATTCGGAGTTGAACTTTTCTTAGCGAAAATATCAAGATAACAATCATTTTCGATTTATAAACAATTGTAAGAATGGCTTTCCGCGAACTAAACTCCAAGAAATCAAGTAAATAATAACGTTTATACACTCTTCGATTAATCTCAAATGCAATTTTCTTTGATGGAACTTTAATCTGAGACTTGATATATTGACAAAAATATACATAGAAGATTGAAAAAGTGCAATGAATGATGATCTTTCGTAGACTAATTCTAAGGGTCTAATCAACTTCAAATTCAGCGAATCTATTGTTAGAAAGAAAATCATTCAAAACAATTTTTGGAGCACTCTATATTAACGATATCGCGAAGTGCGTCATTTTGAACGCGGATCTCTCCAGCACAGTCCGATCTGAAATCATTTTTTTACGGTTGCTCTCCATTCTCCGTTACGTATGTGCACGTACCTTGACCGTTTACCTATTGCGAAACAGGCCGTTAACGAAATGTAATGCCTTTCGCAGTTGCGCGGCCGGCTGCTATTGTTCTAGGTAATCGTTCCAAACACGCGAAAACAATACAAAAATGTAAAAATAATTCTAAGACATGTCTGTGAAAGTATCAAGGAGCACTCTTGATATAAAATCTTAAAGAAAAAAAAATCAAAATTTGTTTTGTTAAAAAAAAAATCAAAATTTGTTTTTTTTTTATTCTTATAGTAAAATATGTAAGAATATGTTCTTAAGATATTATTTCGAAATTCGAAAAATTGACACAGTTATAAGTAATTTAGCAGTAAACGTTCGACGTGCTCAGGTAAGAATTCACACACACACACAACACACACACACACACACACACACACACACACACACACACACACATAAACAGAGAGAGAGAGAGAGAGCACTCAAAGATTTACTTGTTCGTAGAACTTCAAGCATCCAAAGGAAACAGAATCTATTATACACAATAAAAAAGATCTATTTTATAGGACTAGAAATAGTAGATTAATCAAAAATTAATTTTGAGTATACAAAATTTATGTAACTCTTAATCATTCATATTCTTAAGATGTTTCTCTCTTAAACTTAATTAATTTCTCTTTATGGCAAATTAAATTAATCATATAAAAAGCGATTACATCAAACAAAGATGATTCATTTGGATCGACTATCTTTTTGTTAGAAATATTTTAAATTATTTTGTCTCCAAACTCAAATTTGTTTTTGAGAAAGAAACTATATCCTACTTTGACAAATAAAAAATAATGTTCTCAATGCGGATTTAATCGCATTTTTCAATCGACGCAAAATTTGTATTTTTCTTTAGAACATTTAATTGTACGTTTTAATTGTATATCGTAATTGCATGTCTAATCTTATATATTTTAATTACATTATTGACATTGAAACAGATCAGAGAGAGAGAAAAATCGTTTCTCATCGCTTTCCTTCGAATACGAGAAAAATTATTATTCCACGAAGAAAGCCGCCAAATCTCGATTGTTTTCGCATATATTAGATAGAATTTAATTTATATATACCGCTAATCGCATCAGATCATATATCTGCGCTTCGCGAGATCGGTAAGTAAATAGCCGTAAAATGGCGATTACACAGTATCCAATTAGGAATCACGAGATGATCCGCGGAGCACGAAAGCGAAAGTGTTTAAGCAAGGCGTGACGAAACGAAGCGCACAGTTCGTCAAACCTCACAAATTAAACGAAGATGATGCACATAGATCAATCGCATTTTTTAGAAATATTTAAAATCCTTTTATTCTTTAATTCAAAAACAAAATCTTTTTTCAAGATAAAAAATACTTCAATAAATAAAAAAATTGCATAAACGATGCATAAGAATCGTACTTTATTAGAAATATTAAATTCGTTAAAATTAATCGTTCGAAATATTAATCGTTCTTATATTCTCTGAATGCTAAAAAAAAAGTTTTTATTCAAGATAAAACTATTCTACTTCAACTAAATAAAAAAAAATGTGAAAAATTATTGTCAATCAGAAGAATTAATTTCGGAGATTATTTAATCATGCTATTTTGTCTACATTGTAAAAAAGAGTAGAACTACTTAATAATATATGTAAAAATTATACAATTATAATGAAAATTAAAACATGTGCAAGTATATAAAATTGTACATTTTACAAAAATTAATATACTTCTCACTTTCTAGACTCTTTTTGTTATAGTTTAATATAAAATCGTAACACATTGCGTAAATGTTTGGAAAAATGCAATAAGGAATAACATGTACGATCTCTAAAACAATGAGACATGGTTCACTGATAAAATATCGTTGCAAACATGTATTGCTATTTAACACAGAGTTCTAAATTGAATGATCTACATGTTTCCAAAAATAATGCGGTCGTTACCCGCATCATATGCTGAAAATTTAATATCATAGAAAGTGTGGAGAAATGCATTATGTCTTATGTACATTGTGTTATCATTATACATTAACTTAATTATATATTTATTATATATATTTACTCAATATATAAGTAATTTTAACAATGTAAACATACGTGCATATACATGCACATATATATACATGCACACATGTACAAAATTTCTAAAATATTTCAAATAATAATATAGAAAAAATTTCTATAAGAAGGAATTAATTCGAAATTCCTAATTATATACACATTTATTTATTTATAAATTTGAAACAAATAAATATATACATATATACTTTATAGATTCGAAATAAATTCCTTTCTTATAAAATATATCTTTTTATATTGTTATGAAAGTTTTACAAATTGTACATAATAAATATTATGCAAATTTGATATTATATAATTTTATATATACTTAAAATATTGTATAATTTTGACAGTGTCAGGAAAGTAGTAGAAGAAGAGAGCATACATATGTGTATCCATATATGTAAAAGCAAATAAAATGATAAAACACTTTACATATATATGTATCGAAATGTATTGTGCATAAAATTGTAAATCTACAAATTGTGGACCTATTCTATCTCAAGTTCTCTATTACAAGTTATCCAAAGTAAATTCTCAAAACAGAATTTCTAGAAAATCGTACGCGCGAGGAGCTTCTGAAAGACTTACCGAGATATCGCCACGGAAAAGTGAAAGCCAGTGAATGACAGCGACGACGGTGGCAGTGGCGCTCGTGACAGATACGGATTTCAATCGACAACCGCCTCACTCCCGGCCTTGTCATGCCCGTCCGCTCGTCCGTCGAGATGGAAACCACCGCCGCCGCGTATCCCCCATCTACAAAAACGGAAATCGATGAAAGTGGAAAACGAGATCCGAGCGCGCGTGCACACATTCGTTTTTTGCCGCGCTATCCAGAAGGCGGCAGCCAGCCAATCGGAGCAACGCGCGCTTCGGATTCGTCATGGGCGCTCGTATCTCTACCGAGTAGATAAATCGTCTATTTTTTTGCTCGATATTGCTTTTTAGGTACACTTTGTTTTTGCAGCATACCTTTTTGCCGTCACGTAGCGTCGTCTTGAGATAAATCAAAAGTAATTCAATGCGACTTACGTAGAGATTTCACCACCACTATCGAGTATCATCCTGTTTTTGTCGAAAAAAAAATTATTGTCAGGGAAAGAAAGTTTAATTCATTCTCGATTGGAATATAATAGACAAATAAAAAGGCTGTAAAACAATATAAAGCCAGTTAAAAAGATACGATACGGTTCTCTGGTGCAATAATGTAGCACGAGTTTAGAAAACGTCACTTCTGTGACAGTATAATAAGCATAAAGACTGCGAAAAGTGATTTAAAAAATAAAAAAATGGATGTAACAATCAACGATTATATTTAACGCTTTTTAATATTCTTAATATATATATATATAT